TCTCAGGAAGATCGTGGCTGCGGTAGAGCACCATGAGACCCCCTGGGTGCCAGGGCCAGACTCGGCTCCAGCTCCCTCAGGGCCCTCCCCACATGGCCGGGCCTCAGGTCCCGCACCCCAGAGCGGAGCTGGGAACGGCCCGCCTCCGGCCGGGGCAGAGCAGGCCCAGCAGGCCTGAGCTGACCGCACCCTGCCCTCTCCGCAGACGCTGAACTCCGTCACGCCGCCGCTGAACGCAGAGGAGTGCAGCATCGCCCTGCTGCCCCGGAACCGCGACAAGAACCGCAGCGTGGACGTCCTGCCGCCCGACCGCTGCCTGCCCTTCCTCATCGCCACCGACGGGGACCCCAACAACTACATCAACGCGGCCCTGACTGATGTGAGCACGTGGGGGCCGTTCTGGGACCAGGCCAGGGGTACGACCCTCCTGTCCCCACTGACCGTCCTCACGAGCACTCCAGGAGGGGCTTCCCTCAGGCATGACACTCGACCTCAGTGGGGTCTGGGCTGTGGAGTTCAGGCAGGGCTGTCTCCAGGATTAAGCCCAGCAGAGCCTGGGGAGGAGGAGTCTCAGGGGGCTTTGGCTGTGGAGGTCCCGAGGTGTGGGTTTGGGCCTTGAGACCCGATATCTGCAGCCATGGGACCTTGTCTGACAAGCCGAGCCCCAGCTGCAGGACCTGGCCTGGGATGGTGACTTGCTCCTGGTGAGGTGTGAGGGTCAGGAGCCTTTTCGAAGTCCCTCGTCTGCCCATAGCTCAGGGCTCGCCTCCTTTCCCCATAGGATGTTCCAGGCAGAGCGGGAGGAGCTGGGGTTTTGGCCAAGGAAGGACTTCGGGAAGCTGCCCTCTGAGAGTGAGGAGCAGGGAGGCACGGTTGCACCCCTTTCTGTTCATGGGCCCTTGCAGGATGGCAAAGGGCAGGTCAAGGCTTGGTCAGGACCTGTGTCAGGGTCAAGGCTGGTCAGGAGCAGGGCCGGGGTCAGGGCGGGGCCAGCCTGGACGCCGGAGAGATGTGAGCTGTAGCTGCGGCCGGGGGGGTTGCCAGCTCACCCGGTGGGCACTGCCATGGCTGGGAGTCCTGGCTGGGCCGCGCTGTCCTGGGCGTGGGCTTGGACAGGACCTAGACGTCTGTTTATGTGGAATCTGGATTCTGCAGCCGGCCACAGGCCCTACCCCACACGCCTGCTTGCCTTTATTTTTATTTTTTTCTTTTTTTAACATGAAGTCACACCAGTCCCTTTGATTTCTCTTTTATTTTTAAAACGTTTTATTTATTAGGTCAGCCCCGTAACTTAGCAGTTAGGGGCCAGACCCACACGGCTAGCCCCGTAACTTAGCAGTTAGGGGCCAGACCCACACGGCTAGCCCCGTAACTTAGCAGTTAGGCCACACCCACATGGCTAGCCCCATAACTTAGCAGTTAGGCCACACCCACACGGCCAGCTGCACTAACTGCACTTTCGGCCCTGGACTGGCAGCTTGTAAAGCACGCTGGACTTGTGCGTGCCCGGAACCCCGACGGGCGGAGTGGGGGGACTGAAAGCGCTGTGGCTTGGCGTGCCGCAGAACACTGGACTGTTCCCTCTGGCGGGCATGGCCTCCTCTGGCGATAAAGAGTTGTGCTCGTTTATTTCTCTGTGGGAGCATGGCAGACAGGCATCCCTGTGGGTCTGCATGCCGATCGCCAGTCTCAGCTGGCCGGGGTGTGGCACATGTGTGCCCAGTGTGTTGTGAGAGGCCCCTGGACACTCGTCCCTTTGCCACGTGGCTCAGTGTTGGTACTGCACACCAGTGCCGCCGGCCCCTCTGCTTTCTTGACCCTTGCATTGGGGACGGGCGGGACAAGTCAATAAATGGATATAAAATGGGACGTTACCCATGGAAAGTTAACAGGAAACAGGCAGGCAGGAGAGGTTCTTATTTTATTTATTTTCTTATAAAATGCAATTCTTGTTTAAAAAATTTATTTTTAAGTTTTGCTACAAGGCATGAACGCTCACCAGAGAGACAGGCAGGGAGTGGTGGGCGGGGTGAGAAAGCACCCTTGGGGGTATTGCCATGCTGGAGTTCTTGGGGTCCTGGGCGTGCGTACACACGTGCCAGTGTGATCTTCAAGCCACCAGGTCTGGGACTTGAACTGTGCTCTTGGCCTTGTGGGATCCAGCTGCCTTAACCACCATGCTGCTGGCCGGCCCAGAACGTGTTTTTAATGTGGATTTTTAGGGTGTGTGTGGCTATTTTTTTTTAGAGAGATTTTTGCTATAGGGCATGTGCACTCGCCAGAGAGACAGAAAGCGAGAAATCATCCCCCTGGGGGGACTACCATGTTGCAGTCCCTTCTCCATGCTCCTTTTGGGGATTGTGGGCGTGCACACACATGTGCCCTGCCCGGTGTGAGCTTTAAGCTACCGGGTCTGGGACTCGAACCATGGTGGACTCCATGGGAGTCCGGCAACATAACCACCACCTGCTGGCCCAACGTGGCTACTGTTTTCTTTTACATTTTCAAGTTCATTTATTTCCAGAGGGGCTGGTGCCCCCTGATGGGTCTTTGGCCGGGTCACGAGCGTGGCCTGGGTGTGCCCACCGTGAGGTACATCTGAGATGTGCACACGGAGCTCCAGGTCGCAACACACAGCACGCCCCGCCCGCCCGGCTTGTAGCCCTTGTTGATTGAGTGGTATGGGAGAGCCTCCTGGAGGAGGCGGCATCTGGGGAGAGGCCCGAGGAAGTGAGGGAGTCCTGCAGACATTCGGGAAGCTTGCCCCAGGGAGCAGGGCTGGCAGGCGCGGGCTCCTCCAGCCTTTGCTGCTGGCACGAGCCTTTTGCAGGTCAGTTCCAGGGCCGTGGACCCTGCAGGCAGCTGGATGCTGAGGGATGTAGCTGCAGCTCAGGGGCAGGGGTGCGGCTGAGGCCTGGCGTGCAGGCGGCTGTAGCAGAGGTGTGACCTGTGGGCTGTGGACAAGCCCGCTGAGCCCCGGTTCCCTGCAGAGCTACACCCGGAGCGCAGCCTTCATCGTGACGCTGCACCCGCTGCAGAGCACCATGCGCGACTTCTGGCGACTGGTCTACGACTACGGGTGCACCTCCATCGTCATGCTGAACCCGCTGAGCCCGGCCAGCTCCACCTGGGTGAGGCCCGCCGGCCGGCCCGGCCCACTGCCCGATGCCCTGTCCTGCCAGCTGCTCCCGAGCCGGGTTTGCTCAGCCCTGGGGAGGTCGTGGGGGAGCCCAGACTGCTCTGGGCGGGGCTAACTGGGCAGGGAGGTGGGACGGTGAGCCATGCAGAGGGGAAAGCTCGTGCTGAGTTCATGTGCGGCGTTCCCAGGGCCTCAGGCGAACACGGAGGGGGCCCCCTCTCCTTGGGGCTGCGGTGGGGAGGAGCCTGGGGGCCATTTTGCAGATGTAGAAACTCTAGTCCTGAGAAAAGAGCCTTTCCTGGGCTCCAGGAAGAGCCAAGGCTAGACGCTGAGGCCCCAGCTGATGGCGTGTGTGCGTGTGTGTGTGTGTGTGTGTGTGTGTGCGTGTGTGGCTGCACATCCCCGTCCCCACACTGTCTCAGTCTGTGGTCTGACTCCCTGAAGGGGTCCTTGACAAGGAGCCAGGGTGCTGAGCTGCAGTGCAGCACCAAGACACCCCCTCTCTGCGAGGTGGTGCTGAGGGCCGGGGCAGTGAGAGGTTGGGCTGGGGGAGGAGGTTTGGGCGGGCCGGGAGATGGAGGCCTATCCTGGAAGATGGCAGCTGTACAGGGGCGTGTGTGCACGGGGCGTGCTTGCACGTATGTGTGGATTTCTGGCCGCAGGCAGTGGGTGCCCGAGCGCCAAACATGATGGCTCGTCTCAGCTGCTCACATGTGCCAGTGCAGGGGGCATCGGGCAGGGTGCACGGTGGACCCGTGGGTGGGGTGGAGGGCCATGTTGGAGGTGACTGCAATGAGGGGTGAGCTGGGGCGGGTGGGGCCTACTGGCCCAGCTCTCTGACCCGTGCCGCCCCAGCCCTGCCTGCAATACTGGCCCGAGCCGGGCCGGCAGCAGTACGGCCTCGTGGAGGGGGGGGTCGTGTCGGGGACGGCAGG